AGTGAAAAGAGAGCCTACAGATTGGGAAAAAAATACTTAGCAATGACATAACTCACAAAGGACTTATCTCTAAAATTTATAGAAAACTCCACCTCAACATCAAAAAGACAGGCTACTTCAAAAATGGGCAAAGAACATGAACAGACAATTCACTAAAGATATTCAAGGAGCCAACAAACACATGAAGAAGTGCTCATGGTCATTAGCCATTAAAAAATAACTCACTGCCATCAAGTCTATTCCAACTAAAGATATGAGATGAAGGTGTTTAGTGACTCCTATTGGGTTTCTGAGGCTATAAGTCTTCACAGAAGTCGATTGCCTTACCTTTCTTCCATGAAGCAAATGGTGGGCTTGAATCACTGACTTTCTAGTTAGAAGCCAAGTGCCATATCCACTATTAGAATGAGATATCATCTCATCCCAGCAATAATAGCAAAGTTCAACAAGACAGAAAACAATTGCTGGCAAGGTTGTGAAGAGATTGGAACTCTCATACATTGCTGATGGGACTGTAAAATGATACAACCACTGTGGAAAAGGATATGGTGCTTCCTTAAGTTAGAAATAGAAGTACTATTTGAATATACTAGGAATATATCCTTAAGAAGCAAGATCCAGGACACAAATAGGTATGTGCCCATGGATGTTCATTGCAGCACTATTTACAATAGCAAAGAGATGGAAACAGCCCAAGTGCCCATCAACAGAGGAATGGATAATTAAACTGTGGTACATATACACAATAGAATACTATGCAATACTGAAGTATTAAGAAACAGCAAATCAACTCATAATGTGGATGAACTTAGGGGACTTTATGCTGAGTGAAAGAAGTTAATCACAGAAGGACAGATATTGTATAAGTCCATTATTATAAAAAAGCCAAGGAAAGGTTTACACAGGGAAGGGAATTTTCTTGTTGGTTATTGGGGAAGGGAAAACAGATGGATAGTTAACAGACAGATTTCTTATGTGTGAAGGGGAAAGCAGTATAACAGAATCATGGACGTAGCACAATATCACTAAGGAAAAGTAAGACACGGAGAGGTGCACAGGAGGTACAAACAGTGAAGGCAAATACTCTACTGCTGTCAAGTTGGATCCGACTCATAGTGACCCCTCCTTGGATTCCCAAGGCAGTATCATTACAGAAGTAGATTGCCCAACTTTCCTTCCAAGGAATGGCTGGTGATTATCAGTAATAGCAAACACTAATCTGCAGGTGGATACACAGATTAAACAGACAAGAAGATCAAGTATGGATAGGTGAATAGGTCTATATCACGATCATACATAGCTTTAAGGAGCTCTGGTGGCATAGTGCCTAAGGCATTTGACTGCTAACCAGAGGCTGGCAGTTCCAACTCCATGGGAGGAAGACTGGGCAATCTACTTCCAGAAAGATTTACTGCCTTAGAAACCCAAAGGTAGTCACTATAAGTCGCAAGTGATTCGATGGCAGTGAGTTGGGTTGGATTTGGTTATACATAGTTTTCACAGGCGATATTCCTGCATATATATTTGTATGTGTTATAAAGATGTCCATATGCAGTTTAAACCTAACAAGAAGCAATGTTAAGATAACTTCTTTGCCACAACTAAGCACCTTGAGGGGAGGGAGTCTCAACCCAGGGCAGGGGACCTTGGTCACACGAAATATCAAGCTCAATTGGCACAATATGGTATACAGAAATACTGTTCTACATCTTTCTTTGGTGAATAGCAAGTGAGGTCTTAAAAGCTTGTGAGTGGCCATCTGTGTGGCAGCTGTTAGTCTCTCCTTGTCTAGAGCAGAGAAGAATGAAAAAAAAAAAAAAAAATGATGCATGCAAATAGTCCAAAGGACTAATGGATCATGAGAACCTCAGCCTGTATGACTGTGAGACCAGAAGAACTAGATGGTGCCCCAGCTGCCAGTGCCAAGCACTTAGGGATCAAAATTGGAGATCCTGGATAGAATGAGAGAAAAAAGTGGAACAAAACTCAAAATCATTAAGAATAAAAAAAAAGACCATACTTATTGGTCTGTTAGAGACTGGTGAAACCCCCGAGACAGTGGCCCCAAGTCACCCTTCTGACCTAGACTTGAACTCAGTTCTGTAGCTTAGCCCTCAGCCAAACGATAGATAGGCCTATGAGTTGAACACCTATACCAGGAGATACACTCCTTAGAACAATCTATATGGGAGATCAGAAGGGCAGCATTTGCTCAGGGAGAAAGGTGGGGAGGCAGCAATGCAAAGGCTAGAAAGACACAAGGGAAGGGTAACCACAGGGAGAAAGTGGGAAGAGAGCTGTTACACTGCAAAATTTATATGAACTGTTGAACATGAATACTTTGTAAAATTGCACCCAAGTCTCTCCAACTATTTTGTGCATTAATATGCTTCTAGAAGTAATGAACCCTGAGGCTCAAGATGAGAGTAATGCTGGTTGTGATGGTTAAGATAATGTGTCACCTTGGAACACTGGTTTTCACATAAGGGCATGGTATTTGGAATCTAACCATGTTGATAAATAAGGAGTGGGTATACTGGTTGTATAGGACCCCTGGTGGTATAATAGATAAACATTTGCTCTGCTGCTAACCAAACAGGTCACCAGCCACTTAGCAGGAGAAAAGACTTGGCGATTTGTACCCATAAGGGTTATAGCCTGGGAAACCCTTTTGAGACAATTCTCTGTCATGTAGTGTTGCTTTAAGTCAGTTAATAGCACATCACAATAGCTGATTATATTATATTTTCTCTAACCTGCAGAGTATCAGATTATATCATGCCATTCCTTTATCTTAGCCATAGCCACGCACCTTGAGGGAGTGAGTTGCCAGTCCTGTGGGCTCAGTCAGTACCATGGTCTCAAGGGACATCAAGCTCAATTGGCACAATATATTGTTTAAAAATACTGTTCTGCATCCTACTTTGTGAGTACCAACCAGGGTCTCAGATGCAACTATTGGTCTCTTTGCGGATGGAGCAAAGAACAATGAAGAAAATCAAAGACATATGGAAACATTTAGTCCAAGGGAAACTCAGCCTTTATGACCTTGAGACCAGAAGAACTAGATGGTGCCCGGCTACCAATGCTAACCACTGGAAAGGGGTCAGAATTGGAGATCTTCGATAGAGTAGGAGGATTCAGGTGGTATATATACCCTAGGTTGCATTTTGGCTCTTATGGACTTGTTTTTATTTTCTTCATCTTCAATTTTAACTTGCATATGAGTGGTTATGGACTAGGCCACAGTCAGCTCCTGGTCTTTGTTTTACTGAGGAGCTTCTTCTCTCTTGCCTCTTTCCACTGATGTAGTTGATTTCATTCCTGTGTATTCCATCTGGCGAGGTCCACATCTATAGCCATGATTTATGTTGTTGAAATACTTGCAGTGAATAAGCCATCGGTCTTACAAAATTTTATCATGTGATCTCCAGCATCATTTCTGTTACTAACACCATATTTTCCAACCGCCAAAGCTGCTCTCACCACCCCCAACTTTTCCATTCCTATCACCAGTAATTATCAGTACATCTTGATTGCATGTTTGGTCAATTTTCAGACTGCAGAAGTTGGTAAAAATCTTCAGTTTCTTCATCTTTGGCTTTAGTGGTTGGTGTGTAAATTTGAGTATTAGTGGTATTATCTTGTCTTCCTTGTAGGAATATGGACATTACCCTATTGTGACAGCACTGTATTTCAGGCTAGATCTTGAAATGTTTTTTTAACAATGAATGTCATGCCATTCATCTTCAATTTGTCATTCTCAGCATAGTAGACAATATGATTTTATGATTCAGAATAGCCAATACCAGTCCATTTCAGCTCACTAGTATGCAGGATATCAATGTTTATACATTCCATTTTATTTTTGACAACTTCCAATTTTCCTAGATTCATACTTTTTATGTTCCACATTCCGATTATTAATGAATGTTTGCACCTTTTTCTTCCCATTTTGAGTCATGCCCCATTAGCAAATGAAGGTTCCGAAAGCTTTACTCCATCCACGTCATTAAGATTGACTCTAGTTTGATGAGGCAGCTCTTTCTCAGTCATATTTTGAGTGCTTTCCAACCTAAGGGGCTCATCTTCTGGCACATCAGACAGTGTTTCACTGTTCTTCTGGTCCTCTAGTACCACTTGAACAGAAAAAAAACACAAATGGGTGGTTTTAGAAATAGAGATTTATTCTCACAGTTTTGGGGGCTAGGAGTCTCGGTTTAAAGTGCCAGCTCTAGGGGCTAGGTGAAGGCCCCTTGACCTTAAACTTCAGCTTTGTCTCTTGGTCATAGCCCACTAAAGCTTGAGGCTTCTCAACACAGACAACTGCTGGCTGCTGAGGCTGACAAACCCAAGGTCAATAAGTGAAATGGCACAATCCCAAAATTATCAGGCAATACAGCAGGCCTCTAATTCGAGTCCATTAACAGTCCCAAGATTTGCAGACAGTCGGATAGGCCATTGAAGTGAAGAGTCAGCCACATGCAGTGTCCAAGCATGCCAAGAAGCTCCAGACCATATTCCTAAGGCAACTACTCAGCTGCTCCAGCAGATTCCACCATGGAGTTGATTACCAGTCTCATCATGGGGAATAAGTACATCCAGCTGCCCAGCCACTCAAAACCAGGCCCAGCCAAGTTGACATACAGCTTAACTACCACAACTGCTAATCATAAGAATTTCAGTGGCTAGTTTTTTCATAAATGGATGGTCCCATCCTTCTTCCCACTCTGTCTTATTTATAAGCTCTGCTGAAACCTGTCCACCATGGGTGTCCCTGCCAGTACTTGAAATACCGGCGGATAACGTCCAACCTCACAGCAACAGGCAAGCCACCACACTATGACAAACTGACAGATGAGTGGTGGTCTTCTATATTTTTAATGCCAGTATTCTGTAGCATTTTTCTGACTTACTCCATATTTTACTAAGATTTGTATATTCTTAAAGCCATTTATAAAAAAACAAAATTTTCTCAACTTTTTCTTTTTTTCCTACAGGAATACCAAAATCTAATCTCTTGCACACTAGATCATTAAGGGGCCATAAAGACTGCTTTGAAAAATACCATTTGATTGCAAACCAGGATTGTCCTCGATCTAAGCTTTCAAAAAGCACTTACGAAGAAGTTAAAACCATTTTGAGTAAAAAGATAAACTGGATTGTACAGTATGCACAAAATAAGGATCTGGATGCAGATTCTGAATGTTCTAAAAATCCTGAACATCACCTATTTAATTTCAGGCATAAACCAGATAAAAAGGTACTTCCACAGTTTGACTCCCAAGTACCAAAGTATTCTGCAAAATGGATAGATGGAACTACAGGTGGCCTCTCAAACTGTACACAAAGAATCTTGGAGCAGAGAGAAAATACAGACTTTGGGCTTACTATATTACAAGATTCAGGTTCCAATTTATGCCCTAATAATATATTGTGGCCTCATAATCTTAGCCAGTCACAGAAAAAAGAAGAGACAATCTCTAATCCAGAGGCTAATGTCCAAACCCAGCATCAACATTACAGCAGAGAGGAATGTAAGTAAAATGCGAATAAAGGTAAAGATTGGGGGTTGGTTTGGGTTTTTTTACATTATTTTATGTGTGTGATGTGTCAGTAATTTAAAAATGGAATCATAGATTTGATAATTACAGTATTTAAAGTGACAGGTTCACCATAGCAAAAATGAGATATCTTAAAACTCTCCATCAGCCTGTGGGCTCAGGACCATGGTCGCAGGATATGTCAAGCGCAATTGGCATAACATACTACACGAAAACACTGTTCCACATCCTACTTTGGTGAGTAGCGACTGGGATCTTAAAAGCTTGCAGTTGGCCATCTAGATGCAATGATGAGTCTGTCCTCATCAAGAGCAAAGAAGAATGAAGAAAATCAAAGATGCATGGAAAAAATTAGTCCAGGGGACTGGTACACTGTGCGATCCTTAGCCTATACAACTATGAGACCAGAAGAATGGATAGTGCTTGGCTACCAGCGTCAACCACTTGGAAGAGGATCTATGTAGGAGATCCTGGAATCCTGGATAGAGGAGAACAATGTGAAACAAAACTCAAAATTATAAAATAAAAAAGGGTGGGGAGGGTTTTGCTGGTCTGATGGAGCCTGGTGGAACCCCTGAGGTTATGGCCCCTAGCTGCCCTTCAGGTCTGGAATTGAACCCACTCCTGTGCCTTCCAGCCAAACAAAAGACAAGCATATGAGGTGAATATACATTAAGTAGTTACACTCCTTAGATCAATCATAGAAGGGCTGTGTATGCATAGGGAGACAGCTCAGGGGGCAGGAGTACATGGGAGTGAAGGACACAGGGAGGAGGTAGCTATGGGGGGAAGTGAGGAAAGCTGTTGCATTGTGGGAGATTGTAGACAATGTCATGAGACAAAGTGTATGTGAACTACTGTACGGAAGATGAATTTGCTCTGTAAACTTTAACAATAAAATATTAAAAAAAAAAAAAAATTCAGTTCCCTAGAATATTCATGAGTATGTCCTAAACATTGAAATGTCTCAAAATGATTAAACTGGATAGTATCAACAAACTAAATCATAAAGTTCAGGATTTATATGATTTTAGAAGTACAGCCTCGACCTTTGGCTGACACTCATAAGTTGCTCATCCCTATGAGACTGATTGGGGTTGGTACCTCAAAAGCAAAATTTTACACATTTAACTATAGGCCTTTATTATAAAGTTGGAAAAAGTGACTTACTCAGTCTGCGTCTATTCTTACAAAAACTCACAGAAACTGAGGTGATTTTAACTAACTTAAAATTAAGGTAGTTTTAGATCTAGAAGGGACCATGGTATCTTTTGTTGTTATCATCAGGGACTGTCAAGTCGTCTCTGACTCAGTGACCTTATGTACAACAGAATGAAACACTGCCCAGTCTCACGCCATCCTCACAATCCTTGCTCTGCTTGAGCCCATCATTGCACTAGATTTTAAGGATGGCGTGGGACCAGGCATCTTTTGTACAGCTTTTCAATTCTGTGTATGAATTGTCTATATATATCTAACTCAATAAACAAATTGATTTTTTAAAACTATTTTGACAATAAGCTAAAATGGTGCTTTTTCAAACTTTAAGTCATGAACTATATAGTGCTTAATCAAAATTAGTTTTATAATTACTACCATTTCTTAAAAACTGAAACTGTAAAATGCCAGAATACACCACACTTAATACTTAGTATTTCTCATTGAAACTTGTTTCATGTGAAGGATGGTTATGTACTGGCAGTGATGGAAAAACGTTTCATAACTCTGGGTTGTGGTCAGAATTTGAAAATTACTACAAACTGCAAAAGTTCATGAATGACTCCTGGGGTGCTGCTAAATGTTATGTTGACAGATAATTTTTTAAAATAGTATTAATGATGTAGGCAGCTTACTTTCCCTAGGTTTTGTCAATAATGTGTTTTTATGTTTCAGTGAATTCAATGACTCTTCGTGAGGTACAGCAATTGAATGCAAAGCTCCGACAGCAAATCCAGGGTAATGAATCAGTGCTTGTTGTATGAAACTTTTGATACAGAAAATCCTGTATGATGGATGGCTTCATTAGCTTTGCCTGCATTTGAATATGGAAATAACATTTGAAACTGCAATACTTTCCTGAGCAAAATGACTAAGAAGAAAATAAGTTATTTTTGAGTGGCAGGAGAGATGTTTTTTTCCTATTTTAAGTGAAAATGGAAACTACACCATATCCTCACCTATATTAATATTTTATTAACTACCTACTCATGTGCCAGGCAGGGTGCAGGTGTGCTTCCTTATAGCTCTTTAAGCAGGTGGTATTAATCCTGTTTTGTTTATTATTTGTTTTGTTTACCAATTTTTTTTAATTATGAACAACTGGAAATATATGTAAGAGTAGTGAGCCTAATATGGTGGACACCTTAAAAAACAAACTAGTAATCTTTTAAAACATCAAATACAGTGTGATACTAACACTAACAGTTAATAGGGTTCAGATTTCCCCAGTTGTCTTGTCTTCTTTCTTTTACAGTTTGTTGTTGTTGTTCTTATGTGCCGTCAAGTCGGGCCCAACTCATAGCGACCCCTCCTTGGGTTGCTGAGGCAGTATCACTACAGAAGTAGATTGCCCAACCTTCCTTCCAAGGAGTGGCTGATGGATTAGAACTGCCAGCCTTCTGGTTAGCAGTCAGATGCCTTAGGCACTATGCTACCAGAGCTCCTTCTTTTACAGTTACAGTCTTAACAGTTTATTCCCTTTTAACTGAAGGAACTACTTTAGAGGTGTTAAATTGCTTACAAAAGATCATGCATAAAGTCAGTAGCAGATTAAGGATTCTAAGTATTTACCCTCAAGTCTATTCTGATTTAAAACAACCCTTTGTATCCAGAGTAGAACTATTCTCTGTAGGGTTTTCAGTGGCTGACCTTTCAAAAGTTGTAGATCACCAGGCTTGTCCAAAGTTAGTGGTCTTTCTTGACCATACACCCTCTCAGAATAATAAGATAAACACTAATAGCAACTTACATTTGTCAGGTACTTTCTTTGTTGTAAGTACTAGACAAATATAATCTTAATTCATTCTCATAGTGATCCTGTGAGATGTTTACTGACCTGTAGGAGAAATTGAAAGTTTGTTACTTGCCCATTGCTCATAAGAGCAGGAACAGATATTCAAAAATGCAAGTACTCTGATTCCAAAGCCTCTTCCAGGAGGTTTCAAACCTGGGTAATAATGGGCACTTTCTGTCCATAACTCATGCTAGATATTAAGGGCAACTATTTATAGATTCTAATTTAGAGAAGTGGTTCAGATATGGTCATAGCCCCCAGCTCTGCTATTCATAATCTGTAGTCATTCACTTGATGGAGAAAAGGATTATAGTATCCCACTTGGCTTGTTGTGTGCCATTGAGTCAGTTCTGACCCATGATCCCATATGACAGAGTAGAACTGCCCCATAGGGTTTTCTAGGCTGAAGCAGGTTGCCGTGTCTTTCTTCTGTGGAACTGCTAGGTGGGTTTGAACCTCCAACCTTTTGGTTAGCAACCAAGCATTTAACCATTGCGCTACTAGGGCTTCTTCCCAGTGTGTTAGACTTTGTAAAATATATAGACTTACAGGATAATCAGAACTGATGAGACTTTGAGGAGAACACAACTATTTCCTCTGTGTCGAATCAGTTTCATTGAGTAAATTTCCCTAATGTACTATTTTGTTAGAGTACTTGAAATAAACCCATAGGGTTAGCTTTTTTATATGAAAAAATGAAACTGCTTTTTAAATCTTTACAGAAGTTTTTGAAGAGTTAACACAACAAGTACAAGAAAAAGATTCTTTGGCCTCAGAGCTCCATGTCCGCCACATTGCTATTGAGCAGCTTCTCAAGAACTATTCCAAGTTACCATGTCTGCAAGTGGGGCGAACAGGACTGAAGTCACACCTGCCCATAAACAATTGAAGTAAACTTATACTTACTTCTTATGTGCTATGGTTTATTGCTGTGCCAGGCATGCAAGTTTGAAGAAAGTTACAGTTCATTCTTTTATAGTCATTAAATTTGCAGTGCTTAAGGCAATACTTAACATCTTCATCAAACAGAGTAGACCATTATACTCTAATCTAGGGTTAATCATTTTGGGAATCTTTCTTCTGTAATTGCTAAATGCCCCCTCTCTAACTCTTACCACATGTGACCACTTAAATATACTGTTACAAATGTGGTTTTATTAAACATATTTTAATATAATTCATCAGTCAGAACAGTAGAAGGTTAGCAAGCTCCTTAGATTAGTCTGAACTACTGAAAGTAATTTTTAAGAGGGAAATAGAATTCATAATATTCACCTCTTATTTATTATGAGCAATATTTTAATATGAAAATTTTATATATAAATGCTATTTTAGGTACCTTTCCATTCTCTTTATAAATGTGTATTTGAATTGCTCTGTATATGATATTTACACTTTGATGTGTGAATATGCTCACCCATATTTCAGATCACTGCATTTTATTCTCTTAATATAATGTTTTTACAACTATTATCTTGTTTTCCAAAGAAAAAAAAATGTATTTTGGAGTAGAAATTTATCTATTTGAATTGTTTTAACTTCTAGTAACTCATGAAAGGGGAATTAATAACTTTTTAAAGCAAGTATCCAAGTAAATAGAATATATTATTTTTTTCTTACAAAAGCTATTCTAAGTTCAGGAAGAAAATACTAATACTTTTTATATGTCAACTTGTTTCCATAGAGAAAAAAGCCTCTTCTACTTCATTATTAATTTGATTCTTCATTGCATTGATGTTTTAGAATTTAGACAGGCTAAGTCAGGTCTCTTTCTAGGTCAGATGTAGTATCCAACTTTCCTCGAATTAAATATGCTGTGGAATTGTTGTCTTGTCTTTGAAAAACATTAAAAACTATTCAGTTTGCCACTTTGGGTAAAGGTTCAAGAATTCCTTATTACACTGTCCAAATTCCTTAAACTGTACAAATTCCTTATCGTCACTGAAATTAGTGCCCCATGAAAGCATTGCGTGGGTTATTTTTCCAAAATATGTAATCTAAAGGAAGAGAGTATTGCTTGACAATAAGAAAAGTAGAACTTCTAATTCAAAAACATAAACCTGTTTTTAAAAGAATATTCTTTAAGTTGTATATGATGTTTCCAAAGAGTTTTCTTATCTAATACATTGTCTCAACCAGCCAGCTAAGTTGTTCAGTAATGTATTACAGTAAAAACTATAACCAGTGCAGAGTTGAATTGGGCTGTAAATACTATTTACAGCTGGTGCTTAAAATGTATATATATGAGAGAGATCCTTTGCTTGAAAAAATGTACAGAAGAGCCCATTAACTTAGCTTCATAAATAAATATGTGAATGACTTCTACCTTTTATTTGGCAGCCTGCTCTGGCTTGGGTCACATGTTCATCTTGAACACAAGCAGTATTTCACTAAGCAAGTGCACACCTCAATCAGGTAGAAAACAACTTTTTCTAATGCTAAAATGTGTTAAATATACCTGAGGGTAGTATTGATAATCCATCGATTTTATATGTTTGAGGCCTCCTCCCCTTTAATATGATGTAACTGCTCTTCAGTGGGAGCTTTAAAGGATGTGTTCAGTTTTTCTCAATTCTTTGGGTAATCCAAAATGAATTTAAAATCCAGGATATTAAAATGCATTGCTTTAGTTTTGATAAGCTTTAAATTTAATATGTGCAATACCAAGTTCTCTATAAATTTTCAAGTTGCGTAAAGTGACTTCCTGATTATGCCAGTATCTTAATAGTTAGTTATGGTCACATTTTCAAATTTGACTTTACTCTTGTTTGTCATAATTATTGCCAGCCAGTATATTCATACATATTTAGGGTTCTATTTAGATCACTTAGGGATAGTCGGAAAAGTTGAGGGTGTGTTGGCACTTGAAGTCAGTATAGTAGCATATTTCCAGATTTTGAGCCATATATTACAGTCCTGACTACAACAGTATTATCCAAAGAAAGTGTTTGTTTATCTCCTAATGAGTTTCTGGCAAATATATCGCTTTACTAATGAGTTTGGAGCACTTGGATGGGATTATGCATGTATTAGGGCTTTATTGGGGATTCTGATTTGTTCCATTTAGATATTTCTACTGAAGCTCTTCAAAGGAAAGGTGCTCTTTAAAAATACTTGTGGTGCTGGTACTCATATTAGTATTTTATTCGGATGAACTGTTTTTTGTTGTTGAAGTGTTTTGCACAGCAGTTTTTCCAAGTATTTGGTAAATATACATATACTTACGTTACATTTATTTTCTTGATTAAATATGCAATCATTGTATATGCAAGTATAAGGACAAGGGCCAGAGTTGAGTTCTTACTTAAGAGAACATGTAATACCACAAATAATGGTTTTGATAGGTGTCTCTATTATTAGGGAAATGTAGAAGAAAATCTCATAATCTAAAGCTTCAGTTTCAGAACTGTCAAAAGAAGAGCTGCCAGCCAGGACTTAAATGATTAAAGAGCAGTGAAATTAATGCTAATGTAATTTTCCAAGTTAGATTTCATAACTAGACAAATTGGATTGAGTTAAAAAGTTAGAAGTCAAAAATGATTTTGACCACACAAGTTTGGTTTTTGTAAAAATTAAGTTTTAAAATCTCTAAAGCCTTAAAATAGAGCTAAAAATTTTTTTTCTTTTAATTTTGAGATGATCCTGTTATCTTTCAACTGTAGTATTTAATACCTGAATTTAATGTAAAAAAAAAAAAAAAAAGGCATGCACTTAAGACACTGTAATATCAATAATAAATGATTCAGGCTGAAAAATAGTATTTTGTTCCATTATGTAGTTTTCTTATGAACAGTATTGGAGCAAAGAAATGTTCTTCTTAGAATCATATGTTCATTTCACCACAAAGTGCCCATTTTTATATACATTTAAGAATTATTTTTAAAGTTCATGTTTGGAAAGTGATTTCAGAAATAAAGTCAAAATATATTCTATTTTACTGGTACCATCTTGACAGATATATTGCGATTTTTTGGCTTTTTATTTTACCATATACTTTGTCACTAAATATGGTTTAAAGTGCTTGCTTTTGTTTGTTTCTGTATTATTTACCTTGATGTTGATGCTGTTGAGGTTTTTCTATCAATTTTTGCTAGATTCTTAAAAAGTTTTCTTTGTTTAAAATCTATTCATGTGTTATAATTTACCAGTTTTGGTTTTATTTTAGAAGAAATATGCTTTTGTTAACAACCTAAGTTATAATACTAATGTATATGCACTAAACTTAAATAGGAACTTTTAAAGAACAAATTACACATGTGGCTTGTTGGGAAGTTCAGATTAGTGACCATAAAATTAGGTTACATGTACATGAAAACTATTAAATGGTACCATATAATGTTCTTACAGTGTTACTGATTTATGCCAGTTAGTTTACTGATAGATGTTATTTATCACTGCTTATGCTAAAGTAAGATATTTAAATATTTTAAAGTACTTATGAACAAACAAGTTTAGTACTCTAAAATTTTTTTCAAGTATCTTTTGTTCAGATACAGCTATAAAACAAAGGTAATTGACTTTTCATTTCTGTATTTAATTGCATTTTTAACTTTCAGTTGATGGGAATAATTATTTGAGGAAATTTGTGGTGAAAATCACTAAAAGATATAACTCTCAAGGAGTTATTAATGCTAAGGTGTGTGGGAGTGAGGTGGGGGAGTAGAGAGATGCTTACTTACCAGAATAATAAAGTATTAGGTCTCTAGCATAATAGTGGCACCTTGTCATGCACAAAGTAAAGATATCTTGGAGGAAGACTGTAATGCCTTTTGGAATAACAGGGCTCTGCCATACATCTTGGTATTTTCATTACTTCATCTTTCTTTATTGCCCATGTAATGCAGTCTAACCTATTAAGCATCTTGTGAGTGTGATATGAACCATATCACAGCAAGTCACTAGCATTAAGATTTTTTTTTTCTTTTTTAACATCTGGTTTGTAAGATAAACTTTTCCTATTTTAAGTTTTTGATTACAGATTAATGTGTTTTAGTAATAATAAATTACCTAGAATTTTAAGTTTACGAAAGTCAATCAAAAAAAAAATCATGAATGAGTAGTGTCTTCTACCCCCAAACACTCCCTTCAAAAAAAGGTTTAACTGCCAGGCTACCTGTAAAGCAAAGGGAATTTTAGCAAATATGTATTTTTTCAACATGTCTAGAATATTTATTTTCATCCCACTACTTCAGAATGAGGTAATTTTAAAAGTGTACATTAGTGACTTCTGATTCCTACTTTTATTTCACTACTTCTGTATATCTCTGTGTTAGCCTTGATTTAAGTCTGAGTAGCAGATTTAAGATCATCAAGCCTGATCTCTTTAATGTTAGAAATTTATTTTACAGATTTGTTCTAAGACATTTAGAAAAAGAAAATGGAACTACAGTAGTAGTACCAAGTTTGTTTCAAAAAACTTTATTTAGGCATTATTTGGCTGTTAACTTTTCTTTTAAAGCTGTAATAATTTATACATTTGTATTCCTCTGCATTTGCTTGTCTGTTTTTAATTTTACAATAAAATAATTATTTTATTATCTACTAGCGTCCCGTGAATGTTTTTAGAGCATTTATTTTTTAAGCAGGAGGTGGCCAGACAGCACTTAACTGGTAGTCAAAAGGTTGGTAACTTGAACCTACCCAGAGACACCTTGGAAGAAAGACCTGATCTTCTGAAAGGTCGCAACACAGGTGAAAACACTTCCATTGTAATTAACAAATTTTTACATGGTTGACCTGTATGAAGAGTTATGTTATGTAGGCTTAGGAAATCTATACTTAAAATTGTCACATATTTTTCCAATATATGCTAATAATTTCTTGTGAGAATCTTAGTTTGAAACCTAATCGTTAATGCTTAATATTCTATCTTATGTGTCCAGAAAATAA